TCTTTAACGCTCATGGGTATGAACTCCCTATCCTATAGTGGGACATGCTTCACCTAAAGTCTTCAGGGAATGACTGCCGTAGGCTCAAAGGGAATGGACAAACAAGGACATGGCACATACATTAACGCGCAAAGCAATCTCAGGACGCGCTGAAAATGTTATTCAATAGACGAACACAATCACCACTTCCACCAATACTAGCCATAACTATACCTTCAAATCACCACCATCCATTGTCAGAATCCCCAAAAACGTTATCCATTTTAGCGTCCAATAACAATCGCCCAGTCCCAAACCTTTTATGCACCTTCTCACCGCGTGCTCTAGCCAGCAGACAGTGGTGATGAATATTCTACATTCCATTGGAAAAGGCCAGTTTTACATCCTGATATATTCAATCACCCGTCCACATAAGCAGCCGTCATTAATCATTCTTCATGTAATCACAGACAGACTTGATGATGATGAGATCGAATCTCTGTGTGGATCATACTGGCTATTGTCAGACTCCTTGTGCATATATAAATGTCACTGGATTATTACAATTAATGGCAAAAGGAATGTTTGGAAGTGTAAAACGATATTTCGTACTAACACACTGCAGTAAAAGATTTAAATAACTGGCTTAAAACCATTTCTTTTTTGGGTGAAAATATTAACATGCCTAAGACTTTTGCAGAGTACTGTATATACCAGACTTTAAAGGGATACTTAACCCAAAAATTAACCCCCTCGATAACATGAGGCTATACATGACTGAATTTCATCTTTGGGTTAAATATTAGTTTAATATATTATTAAATATTGTCAGATTTAAAATTATGATGAATTTAGAGAACATACCCGATCCATAACTGACAGGATGTTTGTCATCTTCTGTGTTGTTGTTCCTCCTTTCTTTCTGAAGATTCTGAGGAGCTGGGTTGAGAAATGATCCAGCTGACCCATAAATTTGGACACCAAAGGGATAGTTGTAATCCTACTGAATTCTGCAGATACCTAATACAATTTTGGAAGGACAAATCATGTTGGCTGCTGATAAACATGTTTTAAAAACATTGAACATTTTTTTACCAGCACTTACAGATGACATACAAAATTACAAATGAACATTTTCATATTTTAGAATTATAAAAACCATCCAAGTATTTAATCATAGCTGACATTACATTAAAGACTTATCTCTCTCTCAGTAAAGAGTGCTGGCCATCTGTTCCTAAACTCAACGATGAATGGCAAATCTTCTACCACCTCATGCCTCAGGAGCGCAAATGTTCTCTCCTTCAGGACCTTGATAACCTGCTCATTGTTTCTTTTAGTCACCTCAGACAGTAGTGTCATCCTTTGCTTTTCAAGCATACCCTTTGTTTCACCCAATGGGTAATCTGGACAGTAATTAACCTCAGCTTTTCTAGGTTTCTTCACTTGGTTGGGACTTCCCATGGATCCTTTTCGCTTGTGGGAGTTGATGTTTAACTCAGAACATCCTATGTTCCTCAATTTTGTTCTGTAGTTTGCGATCTTATATTTCAGACTTATTTTCCAGCCACAGTAGCAGCTCACACAGCCTTTTTCTTTGAGGCACGGGTGCTTCTGTACCAAAGCAGCAACATCATCAAGATCTGCACTCGTAGGGTATGCCTTGTACTTTATTATTTCTGAAGCTAAAGCATCCAAAATATCAGACTTCATAATAAAGGTTTTTGGGTTAGATCGCGTTTATTTATAAATGTGTCGTAACCCTCCAGCACCCGACACGGCCAATCAGCAAAAAAGTGTCACGTTGACAAAAGACAAATAATTCACTACTTCAGCCCACCGGTGTGTTGAAGAGTTAATCCACATTTACAGTTTGAGTACGACGTTTCGCTGGTAAATACTTCCAGCATCATCGGGCAATTCGCCAGAATGGTAAAGCCCTCGCTTGCTCCCGGTTTTATATAGAGCAGCAGGGTGACGTCATCACTTAACTCATCAGGTGCAGTGATTAGAGGCGGAGGGGGGGGGGTAATGTAATTATATAATCGATTAGTAATCAGTCATTGGTTATGATTAGTAATGAGTTGTAGATTAGTAATTCTTTAAATCAAAATGTAATGTGTATTATTTAATAATACGCTTCCAGGCCGCACTAAGCCGGTAGCTGTCAGAGCGATTAAAGTTATTCTTGTTCCTCTCAATTTCAATGGATTCTCTAATTAGTCTTTGCCAGTAATAATTAGTTTTACACACCACTGCAACATTGTCAAAATCAATTGAGTGTCCTTGTTGACAAGTATGTTCTGCCACTGCCGACAGTTGTGTTTGAGATAATTTAATATTTCTCTGATGTTCTTTTAGTCCTACGCTGATGTTACGTCCCGTCTGCCCAATGTAGCAGCTGCCACATGAACAATTAATCCGATATACACCTTCTGTTGATAGTTTAGGTAATGCGTCTTTAGTGCAAGATACTAGTTTTTGAATTTTGTGTACTGTACCAAATCTTACTGTAATGTTTTGCTTTTGCAAAACGCGGGCTAATTTGTCAGTTACTCCTGAGATATATGGATTTTTTTATTGTTTTAACAATCTGGTCGCTTTCAGTAGTATTGCTTTGCGATCGTGATTTGGCATTCAGTGCTCTGTTAATTTGAGCATTATTGTAGCCATTCTGTCGTAGTGTGTCTTTAACGTGTTTAATCTCTCTCACTAGACTCTCACCATCTGACACTGTTTTCGCCCGATGTACGAGCGTCTTGATAAGAGAGGATTTTTGAGCTGGATGATGATGTGATTCTGCATTCAGATAGGCATCGGTGTGCGTTTGCTTTCTGTAAACGCTGTGTGTTATTTTACCGTTTAGGCCATGTCCAAGCAAAATATCTAGGAATGGGAGTGTGTTATTCACCTCCATTTCCATGGTGAACTTGATGGCCGGGTTTTGTGCATTGAGATGATTTAGAAAATCATTAAGTGTATCTTTACCATGTGGCCAGACAACCAAAGTGTCATCCACATACCTAGACCAAAAGGATGGTTTTAATGTGCTCGAGGCAAGTGCTCTTATTTCAAAGTTTTCCATGTACAAATTTGCTATAGCAGGGGATAAAGGAGAACCCATTGCTGCTCCTTCCTTTTGTTTAAAGAAATCCCCTCTCCATAAGAAGTAAGTGTTATTTAAACAATGGCCAGCAAGTTTCGGAATATCTTTTTGTAAACCGGTATTCTTTACTAGTGTATCAAGTAATTTAAGCGATTCGTCCACTGGAACCTTAGTGAATAGAGAAATCACATCAAAACTTACCAGAATATCATCAGGAGTAAGTTTAATATCTTTAATCACATTCACAAGATGTTCTGAATTTTTTATGAATGAAGATGTCTTACCGATGTAGGGCTGTATTTGTTTGGTTATATATTTTGCTAATTGATATGTGGCAGAGCCAATTGTACTGACTATGGGTCGTAATGGGATGCCGATTTTATGAATCTTTGGTAACCCATAGAGTCTAGGTGGTTTTGAGGCCCTTGGCTTAATTAGGTATTGCTCATTTTTAGGGATTAATGAATTTGCAATTATTGCAGTGGTCTTACGTTCTAAAGTATTAGTTGGATCTCGTTTAATTTTAATGTAGGTACTTTCCTCTAGTAAATTTCTAATTTTATTATCATAATCGGCTCGTGACATCACTACAGTAGTGCGGCCTTTATCAGCTGCTAGGATTTGGATATCCTTATTTACACGCAGCTCTCTTAAGGCTTTTGCCTCGTTAGAGCTAATATTTACTTTTGGAACTTTGCTATTCTCAATTATTTTAGCAACCTCATGTCTAGTCATCTCTGCCTCATTATGTGGAAGGAGTCTAACTGCTGATTCTACCTCAGCAATTATCTCATCCACTGGAATTGTGCGTGGGGTAACGGCAAAGTTAAGGCCTTTAGAAAGGATAGAGACCATGTCACCGGTTAATACAGTGTTGGTCAAGTTCAGTACAGTTTTGTTTTTACATTTTTGGTTTTCAGTAGGGATTTGTTTATTATGTAGTCTAGAAAATTTATTAATTTGGTTAGTTTTTGTTAGTTTAAACACATTATCAGCCGATTGTTGTGTTATGTTATCGATTATATTCCAATAATGCATAGATACACTATTGCTTATATCTAAGTGTAACTGCTTTAGCGATTCCGAAATGTAAGATAATTCACTCCTATTGTGCTGTATTCTCTCTATTAATAATAATTCGCTAGCTTTGTGTAGTATTTGGTTAGCTTTAGAAGACTTTATGTGATGTGTTATTTTAACTGCGTTTGGTATTACCTTTGAATCTCTGCACCTTTTGAGGAACGCCAGTGAAGATATCAATTTCATCCGCTTAATGCGAAGCTTCTCCAATTTTCTGGTTTTAAGAAAAGTATCCTCCCCATAGAGGTTAGTCAGTTTAACACGTAGGCTTTCGCGACCAATATTATTCATAATAAAGGTTTTTGGGTTAGATCGCGTTTATTTATAAATGTGTCGTAACCCTCCACCACTCGACACGGCCAATCAGCAAAAAAGTGTCACGTTGACAAAAGACAAATAATTCACTACTTCAGCCCACCGGTGTGTTGAAGAGTTAATCCACATTTACAGTTTGAGTACGACGTTTAGCTGGTAAATACTTCCAGCATCATCGGGCAATTCGCCAGAATGGTAAAGCCCTCGCTTGCTCCCGGTTTTATATAGAGCAGCAGGGTGACGTCATCACTTAACTCATCAGGTGCAGTGATTAGAGGCGGAGGGGGGGGGGGTAATGTAATTATATACCATTCTGGCGAATTGCCCGATGATGCTGGAAGTATTTACCAGCGAAACGTCGTACTCAAACTGTAAATGTGGATTAACTCTTCAACACACCGGTGGGCTGAAGTAGTGAATGATTTGTCTTTTGTCAACGTGACACTTTTTTGCTGATTGGCCGTGTCGGGTGGTGGAGGGTTACGACACATTTATAAATAAACGCGATCTAACCCAAAAACCTTTATTATGAATAATATTGGTCGCGAAAGCCTACGTGTTAAACTGATATCAGACTTCAGCTTGGCATTGGGGCTCAGGACAGTACCATCAGTCTGATAAGCAAGTTGAGCTTTTTGCAGTTGAATCTCAGCATCAAAACTAAACTGTGGTATTGGGAAACGTTCAGGCCATGCCTGACTTCTAACTGAGGACACAGATTCTGGAGTTGAAAGTAAAGAGACTGTGAGGATGAGATTATTTCTGGCACAGATGAAGTAGTTGGGAAACTTGTAGATGAAGGCAACTGAATGACCTTGAGTGTAGCTTTATCCTGTATGTCTGAAGTTGAAGTGAGGTTGACAAAATCATTAAAGTCCGGATCTTTGAATTGAAGTCGAAAATCTTCAAGCACTCTCAGTTGTGTTTGGATTTCTCTTTTAAGGTCATTCAACGAGTTTGGTATACCAGTTGGGAGATTTAACCTTTCACAATTATTTTCTCCCAAGATTACTAGAAGTTTGGCTGGGGTACCCATCCTGTCAAACTTTTCTGAAAGAGAGATAGAGAGGATGAATATATGAATACAATACCAGAAGACCAATCCAAACTATTGACATTAAATAGACGTTTACTATAAAATGAAAGATACATAAAATATACAAGTCCACACAGGACTTCAGTGGCTGGTTATTACACCTCATCTATTAGTATGTGTCGTTTTAGGGTAATCATTCGGACACCGCCAACCTTATAATCTGCAAGAGGGTATGGTTTCGATTTAAAGCTTTCGTGACTGCAATGATTCATCTTCTTTGGTTCTTTCGGTAAAGTCACGTAGAATGAGAATAAAATAATAAATTGATAAAATAAAATAACACAATAATATTCTCACGACGTTTCGGCCACAACACAAGCGGCCTTCATCAGGTGAAGGGAGCGAGACTGTCTGGTAGGACAGCGCTGGAGTGAGAGAGCCACGTTCAGATCACGGCTTTTAAGCTGTGTGAGAGGAACAAAGAGCCTTGACGAAGGAATTAGCATAAAATTTAGCATTGAAAAGGCTGAATGGTTAACTTGTGACTGGTCACAGAAATAGCTATGTTAAAAGTTAAAGCATACACATCCGCAGAGGCACCCATTGTTAAAAGGAATTAGCATAGAATTTAGCATTGAAATAGCTAAATTAAGGCATTCGCTTGTAACTGCTACAGAAATAGTTACGTTGAAGTCAGAGCATACACATTCACCGAGGCACTTAGTACAAATCAAAACAGGAGAATTTAGCATTGAAATAACTAGGCGAATTTAGCATTGAAATAACTGGGTGATTTGCTAGTGACTGGTCACAGAAATGACTACAAATCTGAGCTATTCACAGTACTATATAGTGAACCAATAAAAACTAAAATATAAATTACCTTCATGTTATCAATAAACTCTATATTCTCCAATCAGCTAAGCTACCAACCATAAGTCGTTATATATCACAATGCTATATGGCGAAAAAATGGGTGGATTCTTACCCTCAAATTTCCGTACCACGGATAGCTACGGGCCCCGTTCAGACGGACGAGTTCGTCCATGGTCGGAACAGAGGAGGGGGAGAGAGACAGCTGCGAAGCCCTAGTATACTCCATGTTGTAAACCATACCATTAACCGTGGTGTGAGAGGTATTAAGAGGCAATGCTGGCGAAAGAGCTGCGGTCTGAAGGTCATCGTAAAATTACAATTAATTAAGAACAGAAATGATTTAACACATCTTTCCAGTGGTTACTGAGCCTGAATCCATCTTCTCGGTTGAAATTGTCTCTGTGCTTGTATATGTGAATGGCCTCATGAACGAATCTCTCATGGTAGCCAGTTGGTTTGCAAAGAACCTCCGTCTTGGAGAAGTCAATGTCATGTGAGCCCACTGAATTGTAACAGTGATCTGCCACGGCAGAGGAGTTCGTCTTACCGTGTTTCAAGTCTGCTTTATGTTCGCGGATGCGATCCGAGATATGTCTTTTGGTTTCTCCAATGTAGCTACTACCACAGAGGCACTTTAGTTTGTAAACGCCCGGGTACTGTATGTCTGGAAGAGCATCTTTTACAGATGGAACTAAATCACGGATTTTGTGTACTGTGTTGAATCGGACCTGGATCTTGTGTTTATTCAGGATTTTGGAGATCTTTTTAGTGACCCCTGCAATGTAGGGTAAGGTGATGGTTTTGAGTGGCTCCACAAGAGGATCCTTCTTCATGACTGGAGTGATGGCTTTGCGGATTGTGTAGTCGGAGTAGCCATTAGCCCTGAGAGCCTGGTGTACGTGTTTGAGTTCACTGGTAACATGTAGACAATATGACTACCTCTTCGGCTGCCACTATGTCGAACAAATGTAGGGACAATTTGATTTCCAAATTCAATCACCTCTCCAGCAAAAAATCGGATCCACACACCGAAAAGATAGACGTCAACAAAGTCGTAATTAATCGCAGTAACAGTTCCATTTCTGATGGTCTGAAATCCGTTTTAGCTAAAGGTCTAAACTTTGCTGTCACACCGAGACACTTACCGGTTAATGATATCATTGCCCATGTCGACGTTGCACTCAAGGGCTTGAGTCACATCTCTGCAAACGTAGCAAGATCTGAAATCGCTGCAACCCTCAAAAACGCTAAGTTGCCACCTAGCAACATCAGCAAAGACGAACGTTTTGAATTATCTCAATTAAAAAAGAGGGATGATATTGTCGTTCTCTCAGCCGACAAAGGCAATGCCACTGTCATCATGGACAAAACAGAATATAACAACAAAATTCAAGAACTACTCAACGATGGCAGCTATACAAAAATAAAAAGAGATCCCACCAACAGCCTGGTCACCAAAACGAACAAAATTATCTCTGATTCAACAGCATTAATTGATGAGAACAAACAGTTCTTGTTGAAACCCTCTGCTGCCAGACCACCAAGATTATATGGCCTTCCAAAGATACACAAAGAAGATACACCCCTTCGTCCCATCGTCTCTACTATCAGCTCCCCCACCTACAAACTGGCACGTTTTCTGGCTGATATACTGCGACCTTTCACTGGAAAAACCACCTCTGCGGTACTAAATTCTACTCACCTGGTATCGACAATCAAAGACATTTCCCTGTCCCCAAACGACCTGCTTGTCAGTTTTGATGTGGTGTCCTTGTTCACCAAAGTCCCGGTACCTGACACCATCACTATCATTGAAGACCTGGTTCATCAAGGACTGCATACTGATGTACCCCCCCTGGTGAGACATTGCTTAACCAACACATACTTCACCTGGAATGGAACTTTCTACAAACAAACTGAGGGCACCCCAATGGGCTCCCCCCTATCTCCGGTTGTAGCCAACGTATTCATGGAAAAATTTGAAACTGACGCCATCCAGACTGCCACTCTACGCCCGACCTTATGGAAGAGGTACGTTGATGACACCTTTGTCATCTGGCCATATGGCCAGCCTGCTCTAGACCAATTCCGCGACCACATCAATTCCATACACCCAGCCATCAGATTTACCATGGAGGTCGAAAAAGATGGCAAACTACCCTTTCTGGATGTCTTAATTAAAAGGAGACATGATGGTTCAATGAGCCACTCTGTCTACAGGAAAGCTACCCATACAGATGCTTACTTGAAACCGGATTCCCACCACCATCCATCCCAGAAGAACTGCCTCATCAAGACTCTATACCATAGAGCCCAATGCTTTTCCGACCAGGAACACATTACCAGTGAACTCAAACACGTACACCAGGCTCTCAGGGCTAATGGCTACTCCGACTACACAATCCGCAAAGCCATCACTCCAGTCATGAAGAAGGATCCTCTTGTGGAGCCACTCAAAACCATCACCTTACCCTACATTGCAGGGGTCACTAAAAAGATCTCCAAAATCCTGAATAAACACAAGATCCAGGTCCGATTCAACACAGTACACAAAATCCGTGATTTAGTTCCATCTGTAAAAGATGCTCTTCCAGACATACAGTACCCGGGCGTTTACAAACTAAAGTGCCTCTGTGGTAGTAGCTACATTGGAGAAACCAAAAGACATATCTCGGATCGCATCCGCGAACATAAAGCAGACTTGAAACACGGTAAGACGAACTCCTCTGCCGTGGCAGATCACTGTTACAATTCAGTGGGCTCACATGACATTGACTTCTCCAAGACGGAGGTTCTTTGCAAACCAACTGGCTACCATGAGAGATTCGTTCATGAGGCCATTCACATATACAAGCACAGAGACAATTTCAACCGAGAAGATGGATTCAGGCTCAGTAACCACTGGAAAGATGTGTTAAATCATTTCTGTTCTTAATTAATTGTAATTTTACGATGACCTTCAGACCGCAGCTCTTTCGCCAGCATTGCCTCTTAATACCTCTCACACCACGGTTAATGGTATGGTTTACAACATGGAGTATACTAGGGCTTCGCAGCTGTCTCTCTCCCCCTCCTCTGTTCCGACCATGGACGAACTCGTCCGTCTGAACGGGGCCCGTAGCTATCCGTGGTACGGAAATTTGAGGGTAAGAATCCACCCATTTTTTCGCCATATAGCATTGTGATATATAACGACTTATGGTTGGTAGCTTAGCTGATTGGAGAATATAGAGTTTATTGATAACATGAAGGTAATTTATATTTTAGTTTTTATTGGTTCACTATATAGTACTGTGAATAGCTCAGATTTGTAGTCATTTCTGTGACCAGTCACTAGCAAATCACCCAGTTATTTCAATGCTAAATTCGCCTAGTTATTTCAATGCTAAATTCTCCTGTTTTGATTTGTACTAAGTGCCTCGGTGAATGTGTATGCTCTGACTTCAACGTAACTATTTCTGTAGCAGTTACAAGCGAATGCCTTAATTTAGCTATTTCAATGCTAAATTCTATGCTAATTCCTTTTAACAATGGGTGCCTCTGCGGTTGTGTATGCTTTAACTTTTAACATAGCTATTTCTGTGACCAGTCACAAGTTAATCATTCAGCCTTTTCAATGCTAAATTTTATGCTAATTCCTTCGTCAAGGCTCTTTGTTCCTCTCACACAGCTTAAAAGCCGTGATCTGAACGTGGCTCTCTCACTCCAGCACTGTCCTACCAGACAGTCTCGCTCCCTTCACCTGATGAAGGCCGCTTGTGTTGTGGCCGAAACGTCGTGAGAATATTATTGTGTTATTTTATTTTATCAATTTATTATTTTATTCTCATTCTACGTGACTTTACCGAAAGAACCAAAGAAGAAGAGGGTATGGGTTTTTCAACTCATTGAGGGTAATTAAGCACATTTCAAGAGTTGGTACCAATTCAAACGCCCTGAAGTGCTCTCGATACCATGAACAGATTTTTTTTTGACAATGAAAGCAAGGTTGTCTTCGATTATACAAATTTGAGCAATTTCTGCAAATTCTGGAAGTCCACCAAGAGACCCATGGGCAATTATCATGCCATTTCGATACATAATGCCATCATAAGAAACATTCTGAGCAACATTGACAGTGGTGATGCCACGATATCTAGAATTAAGGCAATGTACGACATCCTCTTTCATGACTTCAACCGTGATGGTAGAGACCCGTGTGACCTGTAAGGTGGTCTTTTCAGGGCTGGGTATGTGGAGGTCATATCCAACCATCAATTGGTGTTTTCTTGCCAAAGTTAGTGTTATGTTCTTGAAGCAATTTGTGTGCCTAACTACTTCTTTGAAGTAGCTATGCTTAGCTTCAAAACACAATGTCCAAAGAAAACTAAAGGACCAAAGCAGCGAATCATTTCTGGATAGTGCTCCAAAAAGTGATGCTTTGGAAGCAACTGTTTAAGTGGGAAAAGCTCCTGATACTTCTGACGGTGTTCAAAGATCTTGCATTCCAAATATGAAATGGTCTCATCTGCATGAACTGAAGACACAACCAGTTCCACAATATCCTTCAAGTCTAAAATCATAAGCCACACAGGTTCATCTGCAGGCACCAAATGCCCAATAATAAATGGCAGCAGTCTTAACAGACACCAATTCTCATGTGCATTGCCACCAACTGATTTTCTCCTTGCAAATGTCTGTGGCACCAATTGAGGTCGATTTGTCTTATCACCCCACTTGTACGGAAAATTATGGATGAGTTCATTGAGCAGATCAAGAGACAAGATCTTATTTGAAATAAGTACAGAAAAGCACTCTGCCAGCTCAACTGGTACTATGCCTTCAAAAAGACATGAGCCAAATCAGGAGGATAGCCTGTTGTAACATTAAAGTAGCTAAGGCTGTCACTGAAAACACATGGTTTTTCACAGCCATGACATTCACACCTTTCTCCTTTGCAAGTTTCACATGTCCTTGGTGTTCTTCTGCAGTCCTTAGTGTAAATTCACCTGCCTTCACTTCATTGGTCTGAGAATCTGCACGAGAAGCTGTACAAAATCGACGACAGTACTCTCCTGAAAAGTTCTCAATGAAGCCAGCCATTGAATGTGCAGCGAGATTATCGGCCACAACACATTGAACTGTTCCTTTAAGGAATGTTCCCAGCTGGTGGACATACACACCTTGCTGTTCCAAAGTTTGGAGATCTTGCAAAAGAGGTCGCAAGATTTTCTCAAATCCGTATGTTATCACGTCTTCTGTTTTTGAAGACAAAGTTGACTGAAACATGGATGGCACATTACCCAAAATCCAGTAGATTGCACATATCTTGTGCTTCTTTCTTGATGTCCCGAGAGGGTTGCAAATTTCAAAGTCATCGACATATAAGCACACATATATCCTCAACTCATCTGAGAAGAAATTATTTGCTTTAAAAAACTGACCATCCTGAATTGACCTGTACTGATGGACATCTCTTCTTAACTGTTGAGAACTGTGACTTTCGACCACTTTGTCTAGTAGGTCATTCTGACCAAGTAGATTCTGTAAAGACTCAAGTATGGGAACATATTGAACAATTATGTTTCCCTTGGCCTCAAGAACATACTCCACGGAATGTACAACTTTAAAATTTTCACTGTAATATTCTTTACGCTTAAATGCAGAGGCTAGTGGACCACCATGCTTTATTGCAGTGAGTAAAGGATTTGCTGTACTTAAAGATGTAACAAGGTCTTTGACTAGAAACTCATCATTGTCAATCCTGTGCTTTTGTAAGGTGTCTACAATAATTCTGTATGACAAAGGGAAAGAAGCATCACTCAGTAAATAATGCAAGTCCTCCAACAACTCATCGACAGCTGTGCCTGGGACATGATAGTGATTCTCCGGCTTCAACAGCAAAGAAGCAAATTTAAGCTCTACCAACTTTGGCAAGTTCTCTGGAACCTCTCCTGTATCAATACAACTGGAATCCTCCTCTAACGTAGATGTATTGATTTCTTCGTTTGAAAAAGTGTCATCAGATAATCCCCTTACCTCTTGTGTTTTCACTATTCCTTCCTTAAAATCAGTCAACGAACACTGACAATGTTTTTGCCTCTTATGTGATTTGAATGTGCTATACACATTTGATTTAAACGAGCAGTCCTTAAACATACAACTTACTGTCTCATGACTGCGCAAATGCTTATTTATGTGGAGAATGTAATCATTTACTGAAGGAATGTCAGTAACACCACAAACATGACAATTTATCTTTGTACTTTCGCTAGAATTTTGCTTTTGAGGTTGCTGCTCACTACCATGTGATCTGCATAAGTGGGACCGCAGTGCATTCCAGGTTTTAAAAGTGCATGGACAGTAAGAATATGCGCATGGATATGCGTGTCTGTGGCCATATTGTCCATGTACCAACCTGAAGTGTTTTAGAAGTTTTGATCTAGATATGTGAGACGAGCCACAATCTCTGCACAGCCACATGTAGGACTCTAGAACTCCAAAACTCTGTGAGAAAAAAAAGATGTAAGTCACCAAAGAATAATAATATAAACAACACTGTAACACTTTATAATAACGTTCAGTTATAAGTGCCTTTTAAGTTATTAGTTAATGATAAACTAATAATTTACAAAACATGTCTATATTCATAAATTATTAATAAGTAATGTGCTAACATTTTATGAATGTTTTGTTAAATTAGTTATGTCACTTATAAGGTTATTAGTTAATGATGAACTAATCATTTACAAAACATGACTATACATTCATAAATGACTAATAAGTGATATGCTAAATTATTTTCATTGTTTTGTTAATTAAGATATAAGCCATTTTTAAATTATTAGTTAATAGGTTCATAAATTATTAATAAGTGGTATGCTATACAGTAAAAAATCTGTATATATCCTTGATAAATAGTTTACACTTTAGATTAGGCCTAACCGCCAAGCTTACATTACTTGTTAGCTAACATCAATGCCATCTTATTCATGTGTCAAATGTGTTTATAGCTGTTATTTGGGTCTTCCAAAGTTTGAGTGTTAACATTTGACATTAAATAAAAATGCTCAACACCATTATTTGAGACAGTTATTAAAAGTGATAACATTACTAAAATGTGAAAAGTGCTTTGCTTTATACAGTAACATTACACACAACAATCCGTTAACACATAAATGGAGAAACTCTTATTAACTAGCAATTTAATAAGTAATTTGTGTCTTTGTGTGGGGAAATTCACATCAAAGTTCAACAAGTATATATATTACATAAGATCGAAACACACGAATGTAACGTTATAGGCCTAACTAACAAAAATGCGAAAACCACACGAGGAATGCGGCAACTTCATTAAAATACCATACAAAACACAATATCCGCGAAAAACCATCTACTGACAGCCTCTAGCCTATATAAATGCATAAAAAGTAAAATACCTCACCTCTGTGTCCACAAAGACAAAACGTTGATTGTGAAATGTTGCATTTGACTGCACAAAATCGCGATGAGGGACTTTGAGTGAGCTGAAGGATCAAAGTTGATCGTTGGATGTGCTTTCCATCTGCGCATGTGCAGATATAGCTCCACCTGCTGACCAAAGTGCGGTACAGCAGACGCAACACAACTGCATTTCATTCATTTAACACAAGTGAGCTGTGTAAATGGGAAATATCACTTTTTCTAATTTTGTCAACACAACTGTTTTAATTTTAATGCACAAACGTAAGAGCATTATTTAATTTGAACATAATTACATTCGTTAGACCAACAACTACCAATTATCATTTTTTTTAGTGTAGGAAACTACATGTTAAAACACCAAACTGAAACCTTTAACAAGGAATATTGTCTGCATTAACCACAATGCTTGTGGTCAGAATGCAAACAAAAAACATACTCTGATAATATATGCATTGTCCTTGAAACTCATTGGTCCACACCAGAGACAGCTTTCGTTTGAGCCTCGTCTCAAACGGTGTTAGACCAGAGGACGCAAAAATGATGATGACCGTTTGAGTTATGGTCGAAACGTCGTGAGAATTTTTTTATTGTTTTATATATATTTTGTTATTTTGTTGTTTCTCTTCAACGTGACTTTACCGAAAAAACTAAGAATATCTTAACACCTGTTTTGTTACCAGAAAAAAGAGGAAAAACCTATTATATTTTGGTACTGTCAAAAGTCCCATGATACTGGCAATTATTAACAACACCAAATCTTTAACGCTCATGGGTATGACCTCCCCGTCCTATGGTGGGACATACTTCATCTAAATTCTTCAGGGGAGGACTGCCGTAGGCTCACAGGGAATGAACATACAAGGTCATGGCACAGATAATAACGCGCAAATCATTCTCAGGACGTACTGAATATGTTATTAAATAGACGAACACAATCACCACTTCCACCAATACTAGCCATAACTATACCTTCAAATCACCACCATCCATTGTCAGAATCCCCAAAAACGTTATCCATTTTAGCGTCCAATAACAATCGCCCAGTCCCAAACCTTTTATGCACCTTCTCACCGCGTGCTCTAGCCAGCAGACAGTGGTGATGAATATTCTACATTCCATTGGAAAAGGCCAGTTTTACATCCTGATATATTCAATCACCCGTCCACATAAGCAGCCGTCATTAATCATACAGTGAGGTCTGAAAAACCATCACCATTGAAGTATCCTACTTCCACTTCTGTAGTTATGATCCCTCCTGTAGCAATGCCCACCAATCCCTCGTGCCATGACGTCACAATGTGCCAGTCACGTGAACTATTGTAGTCACGTGAAATCCTGTGGGACGCCCCACCACCACCTCAGGATATGACGTCACCATTTCCTTGTTACAAACCGGAAATTGTGACGTCACTGATGAGGTATAAATAGCGACGACATTATCCACTCGTACTCTCATTTCTCAAACTAACTGACACATCCACCCACGCTCAACAGCTCACTTACACACTCACCATGGCTCTAAAAATTAAGCAATCTTGTTTGGACATGAACCGCTGCACGGGGCGGGAGCTGTCCCACTACAGTGGAATATCTCCCAGTGCAGCAGTGAGGCTGATCAAGGCGCGACGGGAGCGTTGCGGCTTCAAGCACGTCTCAGACCTGTACTGGGTGAGCGAAGTGCCACGCCGTGACATCGCCAAGCTTCGCCGCCTACTCTCCACTCGGCGCTGTTACAACCATGCAGTGTGCATCCAGAAAAGGGCAGTGGCGCTGATACATCACACCGAGGAGGAACGCATGGTGAATGGTGATCAGCTACAGCGGCGTGTGGCGAAGATCAAACCTGGACTGCACTGGCACACCCCCAGATATGAAAACAACCCTATCGTTCGCGTCCAACACTACATTTCTAAATATCATCTTCACCAACAGCATAACAACCACCATCACGACCTGCGCATGAGCTATGGCCGTGTGACAATACGCCGAAAGGATGGGAAAATGAGCAACACTTTCAGCTCTAACTACAACAGGACCACCATCAACTGCCCTGCAGTGCAAGCTCTGAAGGGGACTGGGCCATTTCAGGGCACCAGCAAACGCTGCAGCATCAGCTTCTAAGTGCACACCTTGCGTGAAGACTCCAATACGCTATACATACGAGACACACACACACACTACAAGACACACATCATACACACACGTTCTAACATTTCCTTCAGAGTATTACCTATGCAACGTATAACTGTCATCAACATGTCTGAGACAATTCTTGTTTTAATACAATTACACTGTGTATCTTGGTTTCTAAAATAAATGTTTAACAAGATTTATTCAATATTGCGTTGTTTAATTATTACCTTGTCTTACTCTAACGAAACATTGTATTTTGGAACACAGAGCAAATGAGAGGGGGAGATCGAGAAAACATTTAGATAAAGAGATTGAGATTCATAGAGGTAGATATGTAGATGATATACTGCCATTGGTAATAGGAAGCATGAACAGAGTGAATATCCAGGTCAGATATCTTCAACCATTCAACGACTTCAGTACAATAATATCATGTTACAACTGCGGCATTTGCTTTCAACTTATCAAATTATTATAATCCACACAGCCAAAGCGAAACTCCTGGCAATTATTAACAACACTAAATCTTTAATTAAAAGCTTTCGTGACTGCAGGGATTCATATTCTTGGTTCTTTCGGTAAAGTCACGTAGAAGGGAAACAATAAAATAATAAAAATATAAAACAATAAAATTATCACGACGTTTCGACTGCAACACAAGCAATCATCATCAGGTGTGAAACCCACAGCAAGAACATTTGAAAAAAAGTGGCGGTGCTAACATTAAAAATAATCGCCACTGTTTTTTCAAATTTTCTTGCTGTGGTTTTCACGACTGGTGATGATTGCTTGTGTTGTAGTCGAAACGTCGTAAGAATTTTATTGTTTATTATTTTTATTATTTTATTGTTTCCCTTCTACATGACTTTATCGAAAGAACCAAGAATATGAACACTAAATCTTTAATGCTCATGGGTATGAGCTCCCCGTCCTAAGGTGGAACATGCTTTACCTAAAGTCTTCAGGGGAGGACTGCCATAGGCTCACAAGGAATGGACAAGCAAGGACATGGCACAGACATTAACGCGTAAAGCATTCTCAGGACGTGCTGAAAATGTTATTAAATATACGAACACAATCACCACTTCCACCAATTCTAGCCATGACTAACAAACCTGTTATGCACCTTCCCACCGTGTACTTTAGCCAGCAGACAGCAGTGATTAATTTTCTACATTCCATTGGTAAAGGCCAGTCTTTACATCGCGATACATTCAACTAGCTTTACTACCCAGCTTTGCCCGGGACTTGGATTATTGTCTTGGATTAATTCCATATTCCCTTATAGTTCACTAAAAAATAAATGCATCGCTGAATTACACTGTGGGGGTATTGTGAGCAATGCGTCACTTGGTAACACTGTGGGGGAATTATGTGTAACTATCTTTACTACCAGGCTTCGCCCGCGACTTGGATTCTTGTCTTGGATTAATTTCATGTTCCCTCATACTTTTGTAATAAAACACTTCGACAACAATTCACTGTGTCTTTTTTTCAGTTATTTATCGCCGCTGGACAGCTCCGCGTTCTTCCACACTATCCCCGTCGCTCCGCGTTGCGCGGCGTGAGTTGGCATCCTCCGTGCACGCTCGCTCACTCTCCCGCTCCTGCGCACCTCTGGCAGACGGTCCAGGGAGACCGTCTACGGACCGCCACGTGACCGATGGCGTCCCGGAGGTGCGAGACGTGGTCCCACTTCCAGACTTCCCACACTGACCCCGAGTCCTTTCCAGCTTCCCCTTATAACCCCCTCCCGCGTCACCAAGCCCCGCCTCTAGCCCCGCCGCCTCACGAACCTTCTAGATGGTACCCCACTAGCATCCTCGGGCTCCGCCCTTGAACTCTAGCCCAGATACTCCCTGTCACTCGATTGGCTTATAGGCTGACGCAGCGAAGCCTATCCCACCGTTCGGCGACCGTCAGCATATGCTCGCATTACATCACTCCCCCCCCCCCCCCCCGGTGTAAAAGACTAGCCGTCCCGGCTAGAACAAGGCAAGCACATAATGTGAGAGACATGG